TTTATTCAGCTTAGGCAAGAAAGATGGATACTTCAAAAATTCGAGTGATTTTTGAACACGAGTTTCGACGCGGAACTAACGCTGCAGAAACAGCTCGCAATATCAGTGTTGCATTTGGACAGGGGGCTGCTAATGAACGCACCGGGTGATTTTGGTTTAAACGCTTTCGTGATGGAAATTTTGATTTGAAGAATGAACCTCGTGGAAGACCGCTCACACATGTGAATAACAATGAATTTAAAGAGACGGTGGAAGCCGATCCGAGCCAAACTATCCGGAAATTAGCGGCATTGTTTAACGTTACCTTACCAACAATATTGACTCGTTTGCTTCAAATTAATAAAATAAAAATATGAAAAATGAGTGCCTCATGATTTGACTGATCTGCAGAAAGACACACGTGTTGAAACTTGTGTTGCCTTTTTAATCAATACAGAAATGAAGGAATGTTGGATCGAATTGTGACATGTGATGAAAAGTGGATTCTTTAAGATAACCGTAAGTTAAATACGCAAACTGCTGACCCCAGGTCAAACGCCGCAACAGTGTCCTAAAACAAAGCTTACCAATAAAATGGTAATGGTAACTGTTTGGTGGTCTCAGCATAGTGTTACTCACTATAGCGTTCTCCGATCTGGTCAAGCAATAACGGCATCTACTGTGCCTAACTCCGAACAATGATAGTAAAACTTGCAGTTAAACAGCCCCGACTCATGAAGCGATCTTCACCATTATTGCTCTATGATAACGCGAGACCTCATACAGAACGAGAAACCGTTTTAACTCTACAGGAATTACAATTAGAAACCATTCGTCACCCTCCATATTTGCCAGACCTTACTCCAACAGACTATAATTTTTTTCGTGATTTGGACAATTTTCTACTTGATAAAAAGTTTTCTTCCCAGGAGGCAGCACAAAATTCTTTCACATAGTTTGTAAAATCTAGATCACCAGAGTTCTATCGTAAAGGCATAAATGACCTTCCTATTAGATGGCAGCAATGTATAGATAATAATAGTACATATTTTGATTAAATAAATATGTTAAATAAAAATAAAAACGAATTTAAATTTTTCAGTACAAATGGGCAGTTTCATACTTTGACCCCTAATATGTCTCTAGACAAAATCTGCTCTACCATGTATTTATTGCTCATGCTGTAGTATAACTGCATATTGTAGTATAACTGTATTTTGAAAGACAAACAGATAAACCGAAAATTAATGGACATACTTTGGAATTTATATATTAATTTCTGTGATTTTGGATACTCACCATTGCATTGATCAAAAGGTACACAAATATTGTTTTTATTCCGTGCATAGCCTTCCTCGCAGTAACACATTTCATTACATTTTATATTAATTATCGAACAACTTGTCTGGTTCTCTTCGCTTAGTTTGTCACAAATGTTGTCGCATGCTCCGCCACAAGAATAATATTCATGTTTTCCGGGACATCTTCCTGTAATAAACATGTTTATCGAATAACTTAGCCAGATTAAGTCTAAGCGAAGTAACTTAATACGTACGGCAATCTTCTTCGGAAATACATTCTCCGATTAAATTTCTGTAGTAGCCGGGTTTGCATTTACATTTTCCTACGCAAGTTTGGTTATTCTGCAATGGACACGCATACGCTTTGTCGAGACTGGTCGCACGTGTGTGGAGGGCAGTCGAAGGTACACCGTCATAAACTTCGTTCGGCTTGTTTACAAGACTTGAAATAGAAAATAAATCAGTAAAAATACAAGCGGAAATAAAGTAATATAACCCGAGCAATCGTGTTAGTTAGTTGATAAAATATTACAAAAATAAGTTTTGGTATACCAAATATAGTTTTATGTTTCGTTAGTGATTAAGAAAAAAATGTGGAAACAAGCGCTCATATTATGTATCGTGACATCTCACTCTACACAACCTAAATAAATGTGTTGCGGTAAATACTTGAAAGGCTTTTTTTAATGCTATTGTGTGGAGAGACCAGCACCCACCTGATGTTAAGCGGTTACTGGAACCCATAGACATCTACAACGTAAATACGCCACACACCTTGAGACATAAGTTCTAAGGTCTCAATGTAGTTACAACGGCTGCCCCACCCCTCAAACCGAAACGCATACTGCTTCACGGCAGAAATAGGCGGGGCGGGTGGTACCTACCCGTGTGGACTCACCACAAGAGGTCCTACCACCAGTAAACCAGTAAACAGTAAACCAGACTGCTGACAGGATCTTCATAAGTCTTACCACCAGATTTTTGTAGGACAGAAATGTTGAAAAAGTGGCCCTAATTTACTTAACTAATACTTTTAAGATGAAAATCGATTGGTGGTTGGATGGATGTAAGAGGGTGGATGAGGAGAGTCGAAGACCGGGCTCAGTGGTGTAATTTGGGACAGGCTTATGTCCAGCAGTGGACGACTGTGGACTGATGATGATGATGATGAATGAGCGATAAGCAACAACATATACGCACGAGGACAAGATTGTTCAGGAACACATAAGCCGTTTTCGTCGCGTAAGTATCCCTCTTTACAAATGCAACCTTTCTTGCAATTCTTAGGATTAATCTTAACGCAAGGTACGGGTCTGCCTAATTGTGTACAGTTTTTCGCATTACAACCGCCGTTTGTACAATCGGAATACACTTCATCGGGACCGCATATTGAAGCTAAAAAACAAACAATGAAATTTAATTAAAGCTTGGTCGAAAGTTAAGATTATTATTATTATTGAAGTGAAGCTTCTAATGGGACTTCTAACGCTACCATACTAGAAAGAGACAGACCGACAGTGAGTCACCCGGATGCTCTTGCGTAAAACGCGTGCAAAGCAGCTTGCACGTCGTCTTCTTAGGTCCCCCTCGCCGGTCGTGAGACCGACATGTGAGGGGGACCCGAAACACTTAGAGGGCCAGCTTGGGCGAGATCCGCCTCCCTGGCCCCCGCCTCGACGGTCCTACGACCAGCTGAAGGATCGGCCAGCCGCCTGGATTCCTAAACGGCTGGACCGATTTGAATGATTTTTTTTGCATGCATTTGGGTGGCACCCTGGATGATTTAGATTCACAAGTCATTCCGAAGAATGGCGCTGCAGTCGGTATCTAGGTTATTTATCTATACTACAACTAAACGGCTGGATCGACTTGAATGAATTTTTGCAGGACAACGTCTGTCGGGTCCGCTAGTTACTTAGATAAATTTAAACGAGTATAAGAGAAACATAAAAAATAGCATATAAACGGTATGCTATTTTTTATGTTTTGCCTTTAAAAGCATTCATTTGAATGCGGTTTTTGTTTCTGGTAAATGTTTAATGTTGTTGGAGCTGATAAAAAGATAAACTTGTTAACTCACTCCGAAGATCTTTGATACTTATTAAATTTTCACAATCGCGAGAGTTTTATATGCTGATTGATTAACAATATTCACAGATTTTCGTTTTAAAAACCGGCATTTTATTTCATTTTTATACCGCTTTTGATTTGTTTTTTATTTGGTTTTATTTTCTTGATGCACACTTAGTTTTACTTGAAGCATCAAAAGATGGCATGAATAGGGGAAGACCTGAATAGGGCAGTCGAGGAAGGAATAGGGAAAAGGAAATTCCAATAGTTGCGACTCCAGGAAGGTTTTTGTCTTGTAAGATAGGATACGTACGTACGTAACGTGCACTTGTGGTTGGGCCTCCATGGAAGGTTTTTGTCATAGTACCATCAATGTAAGCGCGTTAATAGTTTCAAGTAATCGACATTTTTCATCCTTATTTTTCTAGTTTATTAGTATTGTATATTTTTTAAACTACAATGGACGTCTGAAAATACTCACGGCACTGGTTTGGTTTTACGCATTTTCCTGTATTCTCGTTTAGGTAAAATCCTTCTTTGCAATCGCAAGCATTGTCATAGCAAATTGCAATACATGCTCCTGGCTCTTTTCCGATATCGCTACACCGTTTGTTACAGTTCACGCCGCAGCCGGAACGAGCGTTGTTGTCTCCACCGCAGGATGCTTGATAATTCATAATAAGAGATTCAATAAGACAAGTAGCGGTAAATTGGCGTTTATTTTATTAGTCGAAATTTATAGACGGGTTTATGCATCCACCCGATGTCCGCAGTCACAAAACTCCATAGAAACCATAAAATACCCACTTTGAGATATAAGATTTAATTTGGATTTTGGTATCCATGCGTCTCAGCTGTAATTGCTAAGCTTTGAATTGACTCTTTAGTTTGAAAATATCATAAAAATTAGACAGCTGAGTCATAAAGTCTTGACGTATTATTTAATCTACGTTACGATGTTGGCTAACTATGTCCGACAATAACATAGAAATTGGCTTCAAAAAAAAGTAAGACTGTACTATCCGAAGCCTGTCTAAATGGAGACCAGTCATACTAACATACATACAAGAGGAATAGAGAATAGAAAAACAGTGAGGATGAGCAGTTCTAAATAAATTATGAAATTAATTTACTAATAACTGTAAGTACTCACGACAGTCGGTTTTTGGTATACACGTTCCATTATCAGCTCTGACGTAGTTTTCTTTACACAAGCACCCTTTGATGCATTTCTTGGGATCTATTCTTGGGCAAGCAACGGGTTTCCCTATTTCCGAACAATTCTTAGGTTGGCAGTACCCTTGTATACAATCATTGTAGACTTCATCTTTTCCACAAGTAGGAGCTAAGAAAAAAAAACATTATATCTTTAGTTTTGTTTCGTGCCATAAATTGTGAACGTGATTAGATTAATATTTTTTTTTTATTTCTAGTATTGCGTTGTTAGTATTTCTGGGTGTAGCGAGAAACAAGGTGTATAGAGAAAAATGAAGTAATATTTATCACGTTTCTACAATAAAAAATCGGTTACCAATAAATTTGTGAATTTGCGTTTTTTGTCTTTTACAGAAAATAAAACAGAAATAAATTTCCGACAAATACAATACTGAAAATTTATAGTTATTTGTTTTAAAATTAGTCAATCTAGTAACAGAAGATGTAGAAGTATTAGAAGATGTAGAAGGTCACTTTAAATTTTATAAGTTTAAATTTATTTTTATAAATCTTTACTTCTTACACAAATTTCTACTAATATAAATCCTATACATTCGTTATTAACAGATGTGTATATAAATAATAATACACTTCAGTTTCATATATATTATGTTTATGTACACTATTAAATATTGAGGTAAATATTAAATATTGAGCTATAGTTATATAGTTAGGTATATAGTTGAGGTTAAATATTGAGGTCTACTTCATTTCTTTCTAATTCATTTATTCTGTAAACTAGTATAAACTAAATAAGATAGTATTTTGCGGTAGGCAGCGGCTTGGCTCTGCCCCTGGCATTGCTGAAGTCCATGGGCGACGGTAACCACTCACCATCAGGTGGGCCGTATGACCGTCTGCCTACAAAGGCAATAAAAAAAAAAAGATAGGACATCTATAATTTTCTTAGTTTTGAATTTATTTCTTTTCCCCATCGTAATCTGCTCGTCTTTCTTTTCGTGTTATCTTATGGCCGATGTCCATTTCTATTTACGCTGTTATATAATTATTGTATTTTCGCTATTTTTCCTTTTTTTTTTCAATTTTGATGTGGTTGTTTTCTGCGTACAGCGAGCAATGCTAAATATGACCAGTCTCCACTGTTGTGAGAGTTAACGTTTGGTAAATATTTACATGCAAAAACAGTAACCACACAGCTTCTTCTTAAAAAAATATTCATTCCATTGTTTTGTAATGAAAGTACTTAAAAAAACTTCATTAAATAAACAGTCGGTATAAATTAAATTTTTCCGAAATTGACCACAAAAATACAATTGTACTCAATAAATTATCCAAACTTACTGCAGTCTTCGGGTAA